TTTCTGTGAGTCACAGTGAAAAGTCTGAAAGTCACCCCGCCCTGTGTCTTACATGATCTTGGAACTGACAGGAGTTCTGAGTAATTATGACGACTGCGTATAATCATTATCCATGGAAGCTCGCCTGAGGTCACGCTGGGCTGCAGAAGGAAGTGCAAGGCCGCTTAACAGTGTTTGGGGAATTGCAAAGTCATTTTTTATTGTGTCTTGTTTTCCGTGGTGGTTATTTCTTCCCAAGAGCAAAAGTTGCATATATGACACACCTACAAATCTCCTGCTTCACTAGTCGTTCCATAAAGAGAAGATGGGATCCATCTTCTCCTTCTTGAGACCAGTCTTCATGAAAGAGAAGCCTAGAAGCAACTGCACTGCCCTCTCACTGCTGACCACAAGGAAATCATTTATCGAGCGTAGGTCTTAGATTTTTCGTATCTGTTCAATATTTGACTTAGATTGAATTTTTAGATTCTCCACACCCTACTGACACTACCCATCTCTCATATAAATGCACTGAATGTGAATGTTTTAAAATGTCCACTGGGGAGTGGTGGGGGGTTGGTGTGGCTTTAGTTTAACTAACCACAGCCAAAACAAACGTTCCCCAAGAAGTAAAAGCTAAATGGAAGCTTTGTCATAGTTCACCTTACATCAACTAATACACCACCATCCTGTTAGATAAGAAAATCTGACAACAAAGAAGCAGTATCTTCAAAGGGTGCAGCTCCATCAGATATTTACAGTTTAGGTCCTAGTACTGAGCAGCCAATAGCTCGGTATTTCTCATCTCTCTCCCCAAAGAGTCTCTCATTTGATGATGTGTTGGTAAAAAGATTTTATTCTGAACAAAAGGGACAAATTATAGGAATGAGAAATGAGAGCAACAAATTTAATAGAGACATTTCTCTTACATTCATTCATTCAACCCCTTCAAGAACTTCCTGAATCTTCAATAATGAGAAATTCAAAGAAAGGCTTATTCTATTCTTCTCCCACAGTGGCAAAGAGGGGCACCTTTGTGGACCCTAACAAAAAGTCTATTGAAGTTAGCCCCTTCCTTCCCTCATTGGGTAATTGGGGTGGAAAGTCTGAGTGGTGGTGGTTTTGGAAAGAGTAAAATCAAGTCAGCCCACAAAATAATTTAGAACTTGGCCATCTTCTCTAGGACAGGCCAAAATCTCTTACAACAAAACTCTGCACAAGGCCAGCCCTCGTTGCTACAATCAAATCAAACTATGGCTCGTAAATTGATAAAATGTGGGTCATCTTAGCTTAGAAATATTTCTGAAGCAATATTCCATTTTAAGTATTTGTGTCATGGACGTCACCTGCAAATGCTCTCAGGGACAAAGGGGAAGCCAAACATGGAGGTTCTGAAACAAAAATGGACTTCTCCCCCAGTGGCGTAACAGCAATATTAGAGCATGATTAGTTTTATTAATGGGAAGGGAAAGGAAGGATATACGGATAATTAGGACTCAAGTGCTCTTCTCAGTAAGAGCAAATAAAACTCTTGCTGCAGCTAGAATTGTGTATATATAATGAACATGAAAAATGAATATTGGTGTGAAAGATGAGAAATAAAAAAAAACACAAACCCAGGTGAAGGAGCCTGATCATTTGCTATTACAAGCTCTCATCTCAGCTCTCAGACTGGACTGAGCTGGATTCTAGATGCACCAGACATAATGTGGATGTGGATATAGTTGAGTAATGCACTCTTTTAGTTAGTTGGAAAAAATAAAAAATGAAAGAAAGCAAGAATTTAAGGTACCCCCTGCCAAAAGAAGCGAAATTCTGAAGAGGATGGATAATGATTGAAACTCTTGAACACCATCTCTTAAAGTATGTGGTACCTTTTGTTGGCTGTGCAACCTCAAGCAGGAGTTTTAAACAATTCAAAGGCTCATCTCCCAAAGCCTATCTCATTAGGGTAATCATGAGGATTTCAGGAAATGATGCATAAGATTTGGGAGACAAAGGGGAAGAAGTCTTGCTTGCTTCTATTTTTTATTTTTTCCAACTAACTAAAAAGAGTGCATTACTCAACAAAATATACTGGAACAAAATCTCTATGACTTTCTTATTTATGCCCCGATAATACCACTTAGCTTCACTGAAGCACAATCAATAAGGTGCCATAATTACTCTGCAAACATCAAACATGGGCTACTTTCTTTTAAACTTGGTAGTCTAAAGGTCTGCACTAGACCATCTTTGGGGCTAGTATAAAGATTTTAGTTGTCTACCCTATTATTTACCTCTTTTGGTTAAGTATTTTGTACTTCACATTTGCTCTATGACTAATGTTGAATATATTAGAGTGTATTACAATTAGGGATTCTCAGTGTTTTTTTTTTTTTAATTCCTAGTAAATATACAAAAACAAAGAGTCTTTTCATAGAATATGCTATTGACAGTTACCAAGGAGTTGAGTCGTGGAGGGAAGACGGGACTACGACAACTGTTATTATGATTAGAGTACTCTAGGCTGTAGCACTCTGAATATTCCGGTTTAAGGGGGAAAAATAGTTATTGCAAGTAGAGGATGATGTGTCCTTTTCCTTCCTTGTAAACATGCTAGTGGTGGTGGTATATTAAACAGCAAAACTTTAGTGGCAATCCATTTCCACTTCAGTCAGACTGACTTGCTTCATTACATAATCTTCACTGTGACATTAGAGGGTCATTTGCTGGATTCTTTGTGCAGCTTAAGAGCTAAAAGCAGGAAAAAACAACCAATGGCATGGTTGTTAATATTGATTCATAAATGTCCTTTTCCCCTTCTCTCCTCTCCATTCTTTCCCAACTTCTCCATCTCTATTTGTACCGCATTTCCACCTCAATTTGTCATCCATTCTTTCCTTTCAATCATGCCCACAACCACAGCTCCACCCACGATATCAAATGAAACCAAATGGAACTGCTTAATATCACACAGGACTTGTACCCTACCTAGGGAAGGGAATGGAATTTGGAGAGACTTTATTCCGCCACCTTCTGTAGATTTTTTTCTGCTTATCATAGTGCTTAGCGATTACACAGAGGAGGAAAAATCCTAGAAACCTGCCTGTTTTATTTCCAGATATTGTCAAATGTTCCTTGGGGAGTAAAATAAACCCCAGGTGAGAACCACTATTAACCCATCAAATTTTTCCAACTCAATTCTTATTAATTCCTACAACTTAGACCCAATCCCTCCTCTGGTTTAAACACCTCCAATTCTTTTACCACATGGGAACCTTATTTTATATCTTCTTGGCACTAAAAGACTACAGCATTATTGAAATGTTTTTTAACAAAACTGCTTAGAGCAAAATCTAGACTGTGGATACCTAAATTGGTTATAATAGCACTATCCAATAGAAACCCAGTGTAAAGCCAATTACGTAATATTACATCATGTAATATTATTAGATAGCATAATAGAAAACCCAAATAACCTTGGGTACAACAATAACTTTCTAGAGGCACAATCCATGAAAGAAATAATTAATAAGCTGGACTTTCTTAAAATTAAAAACTTCTGCTCTGTGAAAGACAACGAAAGAGAATAAGAGGGCGAGTCACAATGGGAGAAAGTATGTGCAAAAGACACATTTATTCAAAATATACGAAGAACCCTTAAATCTCAAAAATAAGGAAACGCACAACCTGATTGACAAAAGGGTCAAAGATCTTAATAGACACCTCACCAAAAAGACATATAGATAAGCATATGCATATGCAAATAAGCATATGAAAAAAATGCTCCATATCAGATGTCATCAGGAAAATGTAAACTAAAACAGCAATGAGACACCACTACACACCTATCAGAGTGGCTAAAACCCAGAACACTGACAACATCACGTGCTGGTGAGATTGTGAAGCAACAGGAGCTCTCATTCATTGTTGGTGGAAATGCAAATGGTCCAGCCCCTTAGGAAAATAATTTAGAAATTTCTTACAAAACTAAACATACTGTACTATAACAGCCAGTAATCACAAGCCTTAGTGTTTACCTAAAGGAGATGAAAACTGAAGTCCACAGACAACCTGCACATGGATGTTTATAGCAACTTTATTCATAATTGCCAAAACCTGGAAGCATCCAATATGTTCCTTCAATAGGTCAATGGATAAATTGTGGTACATCCAGACAATGAAATATTATTCAGTGCTAAAAAAACTGAGCCATCAATGCATGAAAAGACATGGAGAAAACTTAAATGCCTATTAATAAATGAAAGCCAATCTAAAAAGACTACATACTTCATGATTCCAACTATATAACTTTCTAGGAAACACAAAACTATAGAGGCAGTAGAAAGATCAGTGGTTCCTATGGTAAGGAGGGTGGAGGGAAAGGATGAACACGTGGAGCACAGAGAATTTTTAGGACAATAAGATACTCTGAATGATACTATAACGGTGGATACATGTCATCATACACCTGTCCAAACCCACAGAATACACAACACCCAGAGTGAACCCTAATGCAAACTACAGGACTTGGGTGATAATGATGTGTCAATGTAGGTCCATCAATTATAATAAATGTACCACTTTGGTGGGGGATGTTGGTAACGGGAGGGGTTCTACATGTGTGGGGGCAAAGGGTATGAAAACTCTTTGTACCTTCCTCTCAATTTTGCTGTGAACCAAAAACATGACTTTAAAAAAGGAGTCTTGGGGCACCTGGGGGGCTCAGTTGGTTGAGCATCTGCCTTCAGCTCAGGTCATGATCCCAGAGTCCTGGGATGGAGCGCTGCACTGGGCTCCCTGCTCAGCGGGGCACCTGCTTCTCCCTCTGCCTTCCTGCTCATGTTCTCTCGCTGTTTCTGTCTCTCCCTTTCAAATAAATAAAACCTTTAAAAAAATAAAATTAAATAAATAAAGTCTTCACAAAGGGGGAGAACGGAGGAGTACTGAGTGTGATAAGATTAAGAACAAACTTGTTTACAGAGAGCCAGTCAATCCGCAGGAACTTAGCCTACTCCAAATAGCTGGGAGCCACTTACCTTCCATACTAGGGGAAGGGAAGGCGATCATCATTAGCACAGGAAGCATCATCACTCCATCTACCATTGTACAACTGTGGAGGAAAAATAAGAAATATAAGTACAACAAAAAACTTAACTGCAGGATGACAAATTAAATTAAGCATACTATCTTCAAATTGCCATTCAAGGCCTTTCTTACAAATCCCCCTCACATATGTCGCCTTATTTCTTGCTAAATTTAAACATATACCCTTTACATAGATCTAAGCAAACGATCTTAAGGAGTCAATCAGATTTATCTCCTACTGGTGGCCACTCTAAGGTGATGACCCTTTCACAGAGAACTCAATAGGGACGTGGAAAATTCTCAGCTATAAGGCTAAGCATTCTCAAAGAATTTTAAGTTTGGAATTTTATCTGAGCCTATGAAATGCAAAATTGGCACTAAATTTAAAAACTCTGAGAAGCATGAATAAACTGTTGTAGCATCATGTTAAAGATTAAGTGACTGAATAATTCAAGCCAAATTACTGCGTTTGAACCTTACTTCTCCTTTAAAAGAACTAGAAGTGGAGTATCATCACACAGCCCAAAAGGGGAATAACAAGGACAACCAAAAAAAAAAAAAAAAAACAAAAACACCTACAAAAAGTGAAACACAGAATGGTTGTCTGGGTACAGAATGGCAGTCAGTGTATCGGTTGTTCACCCTTGTGATCCCGTGGCTGATTGGGAGCCACAGCTGGCTGCCACTCCCAGTGTCAAGAGGGAGGGTTGTACCACACATCGCTAACCCAGGAAAGGATCTGAAGGTCAAAGATCAAAATCTGAAGTATGGTTTCTATTGAATGTTTATCACTTTCACACCAAATGTTTTGATAAAAAAAAAAAATCATTAAACCAAACCACCGTAAGTCAGCGGCTGTATGTACTGAAAGTTGCATCTGATAAAAAATGTTTTAATCGAATAGAGCAATAAATAACTTGAGCCTTTGTTTGGTGTGTTTTCAATTCTTAAGACTGTCTAGTTCAGGAAGTGTCTTCTAGAAAGAGTAGGAGTTACTAAAAAGGTGGACATGGTTTGCTTAGAGGACAGCCATGTACTATACTTTTGAGGGTCAATTTAAAAATGTTATGAGGGGCACCTGGGTGGCTCAGTGGCTGAGTGTCTGCCTTTGGCTCTGGGCGTGATTCCGAGGTCCTGAGATCGAGTCTCACATCACATCAAGCTCCCCACAGAGAGCCTGCTTCTCCCTCTATGTCTCTGCCTTTCTCTGTGTGTCTCTTATGAATGAATGAATTAATTAATTAATTAATTCTTTAAAAAATAAAAAATGAAATAAAATAAAATGTTATGAAACAAGCCCTCCCCAAATTGCAAGTGTTGTAAAGCCATTAAAGAAACTACAGATTGGATATATTATTAATGAAAGCACCTGAAAGAATAAGAAAATGGTGGAGCTGGTTATCTCTCTTCCTAGTGGTTCTTTGTTGATCAGTTCATTACGGTGGAAAAAAAAGCAGTTAATATTCACTTCAAACTGACAGGAAGCACGATCCCCAAATTCAAAATAAAAAAATACTTGAGGGGCACCTGGATGGCTGGGTTGGTTGAGCAACCAACTCATGATTTCAGCTCTGGTCATGATCTCATGGGTCATGGGACAAGCCTCTCGACCAATGTGCTCCACGCTCAGCATGGAGTCTGCTAGAGATTTTCCCTATCCCCCTCCTCACTCTCTCTCAATAAATACATCGGGGTGCCTGGGTGGTTCAGTCAGAGTCTGACTCTTGATTTCAGCTCAGATCAGGATCTCAGGGTCCTGCATTCAGCATGTAGTCTCCTTATCCCTCTACTGCTCCCCCTGCTCATGCTCTCTCTCTCTCTCATAAGTAAATAAAATCCTCTTTAAAATATTTGAAAAATGGATGTGCATCCAGTATCATAAACAATTAACATTATCCTGAATGACTTGAGATTCTCATTAATAATAATACAATAATAATGGTGTCATCACCATTTATAATACCTTGAATATTTCATCTTCAATCTTTTTTAAATTTCCGTTTTATGTATGTCTTATCATACATGATTTTTATTTTAGATGAAACTTATAACCAACATACTTACTAAGAGTGCATGCTTTAAAAAGCTTTTTAATGATGGGATATGTCATCAAAAGCCTTTGAAAATCACTGGACTATATTGTTCTTATCATTGAATTCCCAGTTCTTCTCTCCTTCCATCCTTCAACCCCGATTAAGGGTCTACTATGTAGTAGATGTTAGAAACTTAAAATGATAAAGATAACACAAACACAGTCCTTACTATCACAAACCTTACAAGATCTATGGTGGTAATCAAATAATCATCCAAATGATTAGATAATTAAAAAACAAATTAAGTATCAGTTATAAAGAAACATGTTAAATAAGATCAGTAACAAAATAACTTGAGATTTTCTGGAGGACAGAAGAACTTCCCTGGGAAGGTTATACCTAAATAGGGAGAAACAAGAGGAGTAGAAGGTACCAGAAAAAGGGTAAGAGTGTGTAAGCGTGCATGCATGTGTGCCTGTGTGTTTGTGTGTGTTGGGGTGGGTAGCACCCTGTGGCAGAGGGTGGCATTTAAGGAAAAAGGCACAGCTTCTTAGCTTCCACAAAGGCCCTGCGACCCGCGGAAGCCTGACATCCTGTGGATTTATGACATATTTCAGAAGTAAAGAAAAAAGCAAGGCCAGGTCACAGACAGCCTAGACAGAGGAGGTAAAAAGGGTGGAGAGACCTAAAAAGACTGGAGGAGTAGGCCAGGGGCAGAACCCCAGTAAGCTGCAATAAGCCCAGGCAAGCCTTCTGCTCACCTCTCGCCACTCCCTGCCAACCAGTCACCTTTTGCTGGGTTCTCACAGCTGTTCCCTAACGGTCCATTTTCCCAGGCACTCTGACCAGCCAGCTTCCTAGCTTTGCATACATGATGCTCCTCAAGATTGGGCCCTTTTTTCACAGTCCAACCTGGCTAATTCCTATTCATCCTTCAAGTCTCTGATATTACTTCCTTCTAGACCGTCCTTGCCTAAACCTTCATATGCCCTCATTACACGCTCACATGCCACTGTTAATTTTCATTCACAGCACTTATCATAATTAATAATTATGTATTCATACCTGTCTGTGCTATTGAACATCTGTCTCCTCACTAGACTGTAGATTCCATGGTAGCCAATTCTATAGTTTATTTTATTAATCACTACCAAGTAGATGCACATTTAATATTGTTAAATTCAAATTTTCCCTGAATTAATCAGCTCAAGTTTAAATTCTAAAGAATTAGCAATCGCTCCCATGTTCCAACACACAAGCACATACACACCTGCAAAGAAATTGTAGGATTAAAATATTTATCATCTCTGGGACTTTAATCTCTACAATTTAGCTCAAGTACTAATAAAAGTCAGCAGTTAATAAGCTTCAGGCTTCAAGATCAAGAATCCTTTCACTAGTGGGGAAAAAGGGGATCCCTGGGTGGCGCAGCGATTTGGCGCCTGCCTTTGGCCCAGGGCGCGATCCTGGAGACCCGGGATCGAATCCCACGTCGGGCTCCCGGTGGAGCCTGCTTCTCCCTCTGCCTGTGTCTCTGCCTCTCTCTCTCTCTCCCTGTGTGACTATCATAAATAAATAAAATTTAAAAAAAAAAAAACTAGTGGGGAAAAAGAAAAAAAAAAACTGAAAGACAGTCACCAGCGGCATTTTTTCCTGTCATAAAGCCAACAAAAACCCATGCCCCAAAAGATATTTTAACAGATTATTATCATGCAAGCAAAATTAAAACATTGATGTAGGCTCATAAATGGAAAACAGGAAAAAAAAGTTATAAATTCAGTCCCCCAAACCAGTCTGTTCATAAGATAACTCAAATCTGTCAAAAAAAATCTTTGGAAAAGTATACCAGCATCACTACTAGTTGCCATTTTGTTCAGTGTCTGCAGTGTCTCTGCTGATGAGGTAATTCAGCTATTAAAAATACTATCTCCAAAGGAAAGGGAAAAAAGAACGTAAAAAGGAGAACGTTCTGGAACAAATTTCCTGGTCATATTTTAATTATAAAAAAAAAAAACTAATGCTAATAAAGTCCCAATTGAAGCTCCAAGGGTCTATTCCCAATTTTAAAATACACTATAAAGAAAATGTTGTTTTTAAAGGTAAATTTTCATGGGGAAAAATTAGAGAGGAAGACAAACCATGAAAGACTCCTAACTCTGGGAAACAAACAAAGAGTTGCAGAAGAGGAGGAGTAGGGGGATAGGGTGACTAAGTGACGGGCACAAAGGAGGGCACTTGATGTGATAAGCACTGGATATTATACTATATGTTGGCAGACTGAATTTAAATTAAATATTTTTTTAAATAAAGGTTAATTTTCAACTATCTTGCTCTGAAGTATTTTTGGTTAAAAGTTTCAGATATAGGTTGGCAAAAAAGAGGGAGGGGTGGTGGAAAAACAGAGTAGCAATAAATCAATAGTTCGGGGAATGACTTACACCAGTAGTTTTCCCACTTTTTGGTCTCAAAATAACTTTTAGTCTTATAAAATATTGAGGACCCTAAGCAGCTTCTCAATGTGAGCCACACCTATCAATATTTACTCTATTAGAAATTAAAACTGGAGAAATGTTTAATATTGCATTTGTTTTAAAACAACAATAAACATATTACCCTGTTTTATAGATTTAAAAACTATTATTTTCTCCCCCAAAAAAGTATTTTAGAAAAGTGCCATCATTTTCCATTTCTGCAAATCTCTATATGTTTAGCTTAGTAGAAAGTAGCTGGATTCTCATATATGAGAAGCTACATTACATCTGGTCGAAGTGTGTATAGAAAATACGGCCTCACAGACATATGTCATTAGAAGAAGGACCTCGCGGAACTACTGAGAAAGTCATGGAGATTCATGGGATTCTGGACATTCTGAAAACTATTGCCTTACTCTTTATATGACCGTTCCTCCTACCATACCAGATAATCAGATGGCACCTGATATTTTAGGTTGCACATTTACCTGATACATGACAAAAATACTACTGTTCTACAG